TTGAATCACTGAGCTATATGTCCAAAAGTGTTTAAAAAGCTTAGATGATTTTGCTCCGGGATCCCTATTACACATATGGCTTCCTGGAATGCATTGAACTCGGGAGGAACTTAGGGAATGTGTGTGTGTGTGTGTGTGTGTGTGTGTGTGTGTGTGTGTGTGTGTTTAAATTTCAGATGCAGAACTGAGATAATTATACTCCTCAGCACCATTAGTGTATGCGATACCCGATTCTACAACTTCCCTTAGTCTCTTAATTTCTTTTCTAAAAGACAACTACCACAACATTTAGCTTACATGTCTTGTACAAAGTGTATCATGTCTAGTGGAATGATGCAGTCAATACTCAAGAATCCATATTTTGCATCTCTATTACTGTATGTACAGTTTGCTATTTTAGATAGTTGTATAGATTTTCATAGTATGCCTCTATTATTCTGAATTCTGCTGCTGATTACGTAACACCACATAGTTTTTAGTTTAGGCGCATGAGCCTAAAAACTGAGTTTATTTCGGCATACAGTTTTGGAAGTGCAAGGTTAAGGGGCTACGTATGATGATGACCACTTTGGTGGTAGAGTCTGAGGTGGCACAGAACATCACATGCCAAGAGATAGGGAGCCTGTGTGGTTGTGTGTGTGTCTCTCTCATCGGTCCCCTCTCTTTTATAAAGCCAGCAAGATTCAGTTATGGGTGCTCCACCATTGTGAATCTATTTCTAAACACCTACCAAAGGCTCCATCTTTAATCTCCCATAGACGTATTCTTTCCCCTCTCTTAAAATTTACACATTTCCACCTGATTCAACCCATAGCAGAAAACCTTAAAATAGAGAGAGATCTCATTTTAAAAATTTGGCCTAATTATAGGCATTATTCCTAATATACAGTACTGTATCTAGGAATATTCAGGTACATGTTATTATCTTATTCTCTGGGTGTGACCATCTCAGTGACTATACTCAGAAGCCAACTGCTTGATCATAGGATGGGTTCATAATTTCCCCAGTCCTTCCAGACTGCTTTCAGAGCTACTGCACTAGCTGATAATCCCACCACTTGTGTCTAATACTTTTTCATTCTCATCTTCTCTCCAATACTTTATGCTATTGCGCATATTCTAATTTTTATCATTCTAATGGATGATGTAGGATCTCATTGGTATTTAACTTTCAGCTCTTTTCATTTCTAATAGTGTTGAACTTTTATTCATGTAATTGTTGACAATTGGGCTTTACCTGCTCATACCTGTACCAGTGTGTATATTCATAATAGCATCATTTTTGTGCAGAAGTTTTGCTTCTTTTGAGGGATATAATCCATGTATTAATCTCCTTTCAATTTAGATATTGGTTGTCTTCTTCATACTGTTAAGTTTTTCTAGGGCATTATTGAATTGAACTGAACCACAATTTTATTCATCCTTAAATTGAACCAGAGTGCTTTGTTTTGAAGAAGTTAAACACCTGCATGTGTCATTATGAATTGAGGATTTATCTTCATGTTCAGTAAAATTTAATTGACTAAGCTACAAAGATAATTTTCTACATTTTATCATATTAGTTCTTAGCATTTTACATTTAAGTGTATTTATGTGGAATACAATTTTGACTTTGATGCAAGGCATAGATCTAAACTTACTTTGGAAAGGGAAGTCAAATAGCTAATAAAAGTTCAGATATAGTCAAAGCTTGAATAAGTCCTCTCTTTTTTCCTTGTACAACATCCAAAGATTTCAGTTACTGAAAATCATATGCTCCTTCCATCCCTAATTCCTTCCTTTATTTTTTTATTAGATCTAATGCAATCCATCTTTCAAACACACACCCCAAATCGGGCAGATTGTAAACAACTTTTGATGCTATTGAGCACTGAAGAGCACCAGAGAGTGACAGAGGCAGCCCTCCACTGCTTAGGACCATGTCCCTGCAGGAGTGACGAATGTCTGAGCATATGTTCAAAGCATGTTCCCTGAGATTGAACCAAATTGAGGCCCAAATGTAAACAGGGTCAGATAGTCTAATAAAATATTGAGAAGCCCCTCAGGAAGTCTTGAAGGCAGAAAGAAAGAAAACCGTAAGTGTGGGAAAAATTCCAGAGATGTTCCAAAACCAGACAAAAGCCCCAATCAATTCTATGAGAGGCTTTATGAAACATTTTGGCTCTATACTCTGTTTAACCCAGAAGCAGCTGAAAATCAGTGCATGGTAAGTGAAGCTTTTATAGGACAGGCCTTAGGGGACATCAGGCAGAAATTACAGAAGCTAAAGGGCTTTGGTGGCAGGAATGCCACTCAACTCTTGGAAGTAACCATTAAAGTTTATGTTTACCATGATCAAGAGCCAAGCAGGAAGCTGACTGAAACCTTAAAATAAAGACAGATCTGCTGGCAGCAGTATTCATAGGTAAAAAGTCAGAGGTCAGCAAGGGATGGGGGTGAAGCAGAAAACAAGAAAAAGGTCTGAGCGGACAGGGACCCAAGAGCTGGTGGAAGCTAGCCTGATGGCAATGTGCATGACACAAAATGGTCAGACAGTGGAAAGATGAAAGGCCAGAAAAAAAAAAAGACCAAAAGGATAGCAGAGCCTATGAGAGCAGAGACCCAGTCACCAAGAGCTGTTTATAAGGAGAACAAGAAACAGACCTAATCAGACTTGTTGGAACAAAGAACTGTGCCAATTAGGCCAAATGTGGCTCCATCTCTCTAGGCCCAAAAGTCCATGGTCACAATGAAATTAGGGGGCCAACTGATGGATTTTGAAGTGGTCAGTAGAGTGCAGCACTTGGTAGTGCTATAACCCACTGGGCCACTGTCTAAGAAAAGTGTGACTATTGTGGGAGCCACTGAAATCCCAGAAAGAGACCATTTTGTCAGTCTAAAAATGTGTCATAAGGATGTCCATTTTGTATCTGTGTATTCAAAGTGGTTGGGATAGATATATAGTTGCATTCTCTTAATGAATAGAATGATTTTTTCTAATGGTGTTTGTAAGTAGGATCACAAGTCTGCATCTTGTACAGCAATTAACCACTAAGAAGAATATATGCAGTGTATTATTTGTTGAAACTGTACTTTCGATTTGATTTGAAACTGTCTCATTGCTATGTGTTTATCAATAAAACTTTGAAAAGAAAAAAAAATGTGTCATAAGGGGACAAAAAGTCCCCCATGAGTTCCTGTATTTCCCAAACTGTCCAGTTCCCTTGTTAAGAAGAGACTTGTTCCAAAAGTTTCAATCCCAAAATACCTTTAGGCCACAGGGAGAGGTAATTCTAAATTTGACCTAACCTAAGGTTGTAGGATTAGATCTTACTATCCCACAAACAGAAGAATGGAGCTTGTATTTAGACTAGACACAAAAGCTAGAAATAGGCGAGATAGCTGGGCTGGCACATAAGACACCCTCTTGGGGGAGGAGTGGCTATATATCAAGCTCCAGTGATAAAATTAAAGCTAGGGGCAATTCCAATTAGAGCTCACTAATACCGCCCTCCTCTGGGAGGCCATGCAAGGCATGCAAGGACATTTGAAATGGCTCATAGATCACGGAATCTTCACTCGATGTCAGTCTTCCTGGAACACCCTGCTTTTGCCAGTACGTGAGCCTGGGACCAATGAACACAGGCTGGTAGAGGATTTGCATGCTGTCAATCAGGCTACTGAGGCTTTTCATCCAATGATGCAAAGTCCATAAATGCTTGTAGGAGTCATTCCAGCAAGTGCTGCCTGGTTTGCCTGCTTCAACTTAAAGGATTTTTTGTTTGTCTATTTGTTTATTTGCACCTTGCATCAGTCAGCCCATCTTTGAATTTCAGTGGAAAGATTCCATCCCAGGCATAAGAGAACAGGCTTCCTCGACTAGGCTTCCTCAAGGCTAGACACCTGACAATTTTTGGGGACGCATCAGCTGCTGATCTTAAAACTTTCATCACACCAGTGGACAATTACACTTTGCTATAATACATAGATGACTTCCTTTTGGCAGCCCCAGTCCAAGAAAACTATTATCAATGAACTAAAGACTTCTTACATTTACTCTGAAGAGCAGGATATAAGGTATCCAAGAAAAAGACACAAATTTGCTGACAAGAGGTCAGCTATCTAGGCTTTATAGTGACACAGGGCAATATCAACTGGGCGTAGAATGGAAATAAGCTGTCTATGTTATCCCCTCCCCAACCACCTGATGCCTAGTGAGAGACTTTCTGGGCACAACAGGATTTTGTCATGTGTGGATTCCAAATTTCTTATTATTTGCCAAGCCCTTT